TTACCGTGTAAATATTTAATAGTAAGTTAGATATATAGAATACATTATAACTATGATAAATACCTATCATAGCTAGTAACTTAAGAAAATTATATTATTATTAAATCTTTGCATAAGCTTAAATAGTCTATAATTTTTGTGTGCCACCAATATTATTTTCTACCAGTCAACAATTTTAATCTAGAATCTAAGAAAGTTAGTATTTACAAGACCTAATTGGTAGCTAGTAATTTAGCAATTTAAATGTATCCTAAAATAGTTGAAAATATTATCTGGATTATTCTTTTAACATGGTAAAGGACTAGATAATGTTTTACCAATGTATGGCTTAAAATATTACTATTAACTAAATATATTGGAAATCAATAATCACCGAATGCTACAACTATTAATAATCGGCCAGTACGGCTCTAGTCTTATACTTCAGTACACAAGCATTTATCGTTCCGTCTTTTAATATTTATAGTGAAATTTATTTTCAAAGTGTTTATTATTTCAAACATTTTCTTGATACGTTTTAATTTATTTCGCTTTCACTTCAAACATCACCAGTATGTTAAAATGCAAAGGGTTTTTCCTTATTTACACGTGAAGACAATTTGGTTGTCCACCTAAAGAAGCACGATGGTATGCGTTTTCCATGCACCATATGTGTGATAAAAAACATTCAACAATTATTGTATGTAATTCAAATGAGAGCTCTAATTCAGTTCGATCAGGTTATATATAATTCTACAAGTTAATGAATTATATAAAGGAGGGTCGATTATGATTAATACAATCATACATCTGTGCATATACATGCAATATAACACCAATCCGGCTATATACATTATATACATACCTATATGCATACATACATGCATATAACTTAATAAACTTATCGATTATTTCAATCCTTCAATTGTTTATAAACAATTATGTATTAAGATTATATTAAGATGATAGAATATTATACACATTATTTTTATATTATATAATATTATATAATTATAATGTAGAATACAATACAATAATATTATATTATCATATTATTTTTCTGTATTATTATATTTAGATTCCTTCGTACATATAAATATTGATACTTACATAGATATATACGAATAATATACATACATAGTAAATAATGTACTGTTATTTCGTATTCAATTATAGGTTATACACGGTAGAGGGTAATTATACAAATCTATAAAACATATAAAGATGTGTGGTAATATGTATTTTTCTAATAATGTATTTGAGATGCATATTTTACCAAACGTTAGTGACTTATTATATTATATACATATACAATACATATAACGTAAGTATGAAAGAAAACACTTAACTATTCCATAAATATTACCTTCTATATACATATGAATATTATACATATATACATGTATGATGAATACAAACTTGTGATGAAATCGAAATTTTTCATAGGATAGTCCACTATGTCACCACCTAACAATATCAATAACCTATTAAATCCACTCTCAGGTAATATAATTCATAACAAATAATTATATTTATCACTAAATTATTGATAAATTATAAATAAATTATATACCCCAACCCACAACCCTTAAGAAACTCAGAGGCGACAACCTATCATTTGCCGATACATAGAATATAGCATGAAAACTTGGTATAACATTTTGTTTGAAATGTATATTAAACGTATGTATATAAACACATTCATATCATATACCTTTGCATACATAATATATATTTACTTGTATACTAGCGTGCACGCATATATGCATATTATATTATACATATACACATTCATACATCCATGTATATAACTGATCGATTATTTAAATTATTCAATTTTTGCATCGATTAATTCATCTAATTTTTTATAAGTATTCGCTATCGACTTATCAAACATTAATTAAGTAATTATTAGTCTATTGACTACAAATTATACCTCAACTCTATTCTAATTCATTGGAAATTATGCTCCAACCCAGTATGTATGTATGTATGTATGTGCGTGT